TTAGAAAAGATTTTTAAAATTACATCTCATAGAATTTATATGCCACATTACTTTGCTTCTTAGAGAGAAGTGGTTTATATGTCTGTTTATTGGGGGCTGGAGATGCTGGAAGTATCCTATATGAGCCCCTTGAGAAAGTTAAATAAACCCTAAATTAGGGCATGGAAACTGCCATACTTAGCAGGCTTCTGACTGAGTCATTCAGCCTGAGTCCACTATTTACAAGAACATCCAATTTAAGTTATTTTGTCATTTAGATGATACAATCCCCAAACTGAGAGTCTCAGAGTGTTTACTTACTATGTGCACAGCATTCTGCTAAATCTTGATTTTTAAAAAAAAATGCTTTAAGAGTACTTTACACTTTTGAACCATTTCCCAATAGTTCAAGTATGTACTTTGTTTCACTTGATTTTCCTCAATACTCATAAGAGAGACAGTGCAGCTGTTATTATCCCCCCAAAAGGACTTCCCATAGTTGCCGGACTTGGAAGGTGTCAAACTAAGGCTAGAATTCGGTCTTATTATTCTGAGTGCAGTGGTTTTCTATTAGAGAGAAAAGGGGATGCATGTTTCTAAAATAAAGCCTGGTATTTAGAAAACTTAGTACAGCTGTTAAAAATGTTGATATCCAGTTTGTTGAACGAGTGAATACCAATTAAAGAAATATTCCTCTTGGCTAAGAGTGCAATTACAGGCCCTTTCACAGACAACATTTATCAAACACTTACTGTGTGCCAAACACATTGCTATGGGCTTTACTTGCATTATCACATTGAAGCTGTGAGACAAGCTCTGAGCAATGCAGTAATTTTTCCAAGTTCAAAATTTAATAAGTGTTAGAGCAGAGGTTCACACAATTCTGTGTCATTCCAAAACCTGGATATACTCTTCAAGTACTCTTTTCTACTGTCTTCCTCCATAGTCTTTTGTCATTTCGTTTCCTAATTTCTTTGAGAGAGACAAAAAAGGGAGAGGGAAAGTAAGGCACACAAAAAGGAGGAAGGAAGCCGTTCATGCATCCATTAGCTCACCCAGTAACCATCAGCTGTGCTGGTCCCCAGCTCAGCTCTGGGAATGCCCATAGTGGACTTGCAAGTGGACTTGGGGGAGACTTCTGAGAATGTCAAGTGCTAGTTTAGGGACATGAGTAAAGTGCTATTGAAACATCCCTAAACAAAGGCAGGACTAATGAAACCTAGGGAGTGTCCAAAAAAACTTTACCAAGGAGAAGGCATCTGTGCTGTGTCTAAAAGTATCTTTCCAGGCAAAGGAGAAAGAGCATCTGCAAGGGAACAACATGCAGAGTTATGGGAAGTATTCCCACATGTGGGGAAATGTGAGATTAGTGCTGTAGAAGCCCTGGACTCAATCGTAGGAGGTGGAATCATGCTCTGAGGAGACTTTTGTGTTTAAATAAGGGGAGATTGAACTGCATCCCCAGGGCAACAAGAGCCAGCAGACATTTTGGACACCAAAGTTAAAGGAGCTTTCCATTTTTAGGAAATCATAACTAGCAGTATTTTGTTGGATGAGCAGGATGCTTAGTCAAAGTGAAAGCCAATTAACAACTGGACTTGTGAAAGGATGACATTTCCTGTATTATTTCAGTCATAAATGAAAGTTATTGGGTTGTCGGAAAAGTCATGATACATTTTTGCAACGAAAAACAGAAAAAATACGTCATGACTTTTCCGGCAACCCATGAGACTATGTGACCAAGAAATGTAAATGACTTAGCCACGTTGCTGGTCTCACAAAGAGTGAACATACAGCTTCTTTCTTTCTTTTTTTTTTTTTAGCTGAGCCATCCTGCTACCTGTTGGCAGCTCAGCGGCTGCTCAGCACCTGCTCAGCTCGGGCTGGGACTCGAACTGCTGTTGCTCAAGATTTTGCTCTTGAGCAAGCTCTTAACCAACTGAGGCACTCGGCCGGCCCACAGCCTCTTTCTTAAAGAGCCTCACATAGTCATTCATTCAGCAAATATTTATTGAGCCCTCACTGTGCAGCAGCATGCACTGTGCTAGACACACAATGCTTGGAGCATTGCGTTAATCAGTTGTTTTGGGGGAGCAACATGTAACCCAATGTGTTCATAAAACCACAGAAAGCAGCAAAGAAAATACAGGAGATAAAGCAAGTGTCAAGGAAAACAAGAAAAGAGAGAGTAATTCCTAAGGGAGAAAAAGTGAAAGTGAGGCTTAAGCTTAAGAAGGCAAGCCTCTGCTGGAAGTAACCATTTCATTAAAAGTGCACCAAATTGCGAGGGTCCTCTCAGGAACGGCATGCTGTGGGCTGAGATTAAGTATAATGGGCTCCCACATGAATTCTTCTCATTACTTCTCTTGAAAGATCAGTAAATCTACTGAAAGGGTAATTTAGGTTTAGTGTTCACAATCTATTCATTTTACATTTAATCTTCCCTGCTTAAAATTATAAAAATATAATGCAGGTATAATCCACAAGAGAAGGGATAGGCCCAAAATGAGATGATTTCAACTCCTCAAATAGTCTTGACTTTGATAGATATGCAGTGAGCTGTAGACTGTTTCTTCCTGATAGATGGTGATGGCACTTTAGCCAGGTTATCGGGCACTGCACACTACTAACAGTGAGAACCAGGTAAAGGACAACACAGGACAGATAATCTATACCTTATCCTCCTGAGCTCCTGGACCTTTACATGATTTTTAATGAATTCTCCTCTTAATCCCATTAAGATTTTCTTTCACAATAATTCAGCAAAAAGGACAAAGGTTTGGGGACTCTATCCAACACAAAAAGAAATAAAATATTTGGGAAGAAAAGGTTCTGGAAAATAATACAATTATTTAATCACAAGATTTCACAAAATGATTTTTCCAAAATGTGAGCCTAACTAATGACTTACAATCATTACTTTTTCTGCTGTTAAGCTACCACCAGTTTGTGATATTGAAAAACAAACAAGCGAGTAAAAAAAACACAACAGAACAAACAAAAAACACCAAGCAGTCTTTCAGAAGCGTATTTCTGGAAATAACAAAGTCCTCCCTGATTTCCTGGGCCTCTCTTTGGCTTTTCCGTTAGACATAGGCCCCATCCTGGGCCCATACTGTGCACCTTGATTTCTGATTAATTTAACTGAGTACCCCATTAGGAGAGCTTCTTAGGAATCCAGGGGGAAAGGAGATTTTCACACCTAAGATGAGCCCATATGTATAGAGTGATAAATAGGTTGAAGCTCATTTATACATTATTAAATTATGTTGATTTGAAACTGAATTATGGCTTATAATGTTTACAGTTTGCTTTTGTGTGCCTTTATTAAATCAAAAGACATTAAAGTGTAAATTTCCTTTTTAGGTTTGGGAGAAGTAAGCATTTAGTCTAACAGAGATGAGAAAATGAAATTTTAGAGTAACAATTTATCCAAAAGAAATTAGCAGTGTATGGCATTCACTGAACAAATATCACATTCCTTGAAATAATTATTATGACATTTTAATGCGCTCTCACCATGAAGCATTCCCTTGTAAATGACTGAGCCAGATCATGTCTTAACAATTATTTCATGAGAGAAAATGTCAATACCCTTAGAATTTTTATCATATGACTAGTAGGAAGGGAAAAAAGAAAAAAGAAAAAAAAAGAAAACACCAGAAATGAAATACCAGAAAGAAATGATCTAAAGCATAGTATACAGTTAAGTAATTCATTTAGATGCTAAAAAATGAATGCTGAGGGAAAAAAAGAAGAATTCAAAGGCTTTATAGAAATTCCTCTCAGTTTCATGATTTTCATATATTTTCATTGGTCTATTTCAAAATAAAAGCAAGCAACTAAACTCTTAAATATTCATCAGGATACAGCCCCCTAAGGACAAATGCATCATTTTTTTATTAAGGCAATTCACCCATTCTAACAAAAATTTAAAAATCTCTAACTGGGGTACTACTTTATAACATGCCTTAAACATTCTTTCTTGCGCTCAACTACTATTGGAGAGAAGTGCTGAGTTCTTTGAATATGTCATTTCAAGGGCATGCATCTACTTTCATTCCTGTCAACTGTTTTTGATCACAACATGGAAACTGAAAAGTGTATTAGAAATTTGCTGTCATTATCTGAAAAAATACCTCATGAGTTGTTGTAAATATCAAACCTTACATAGTTATGAAAAAGGAAATCTATCTTTCCTGATAGAGTAAATGAAAGACAAGATTAAGTAATGAAAGGTTTGTACCAGTCATTCTAGAGTGTAGGTAGTATCATCATTGATCCCATGAATTAATACATCAAAAAGATACTCTCCCTTGTACTTACGTATCTCCTTAAATGCCACTTATTCTTCAACTATGTTCTAATCATCTTACTCCCAGCAAAAATCCGGTGTTTTGAGCCCCTTTTGTGTTTTGTATAATAACTGCAAAGGTTAACAGAGACCTAGACTGACACTGCTCCCTGTTGGTGGTGGTTTTGGGAGGAATAAATCTCTATTAAGTAAAGACACATGGTTTGAGGACCAGCGGTCTTTCACATGAGCACTATCTCATTCTTTTGCCTATGGTGTTCTTACAAGAGGAACCAATCAATAAAGCTACACAAGATAATCCTTTTTTCTGCTATTTTCTCATAATGAATTTTCATAAGTTGCTATTCCTTTCAATACTATTTTCTTGATACAAAAATAGGGCTGTCTCTGAATAGCAAAGCAATATGTTTTGCTCAATGACTATTTTTCCTATACTTGAAAGATATGAATTTCTGTGCATATTTAAATATTGTAGCTGCTAAATATATGCAATATTAAATGTTCAAACCCTTTGTTAGCAATTGTTAAAAACATAACTTCCATGTGTTCCTTAAAGTAGGGCATGTTTGATTTCTGAATTGTTGTCATATAAATTAATTGTAAGGCCAAAAATGGGCCTTTGACTGAATATGCAAAGTTCCCCTTAAACCACCTTGAACTAGGCAGATTTGCAACATTTTAAACTGGCACTTCATCCCTCTTTCAGCAAGCATCCTCTGCAGATTTAATGATCAGGAACATCCTTCTGATGCATGCTGGGAGATATGGCTGCAGGGTACAGACCACAGCAGACAGTGTGTCAGATGAGGCAGAACTTCTTGTTAGGGGTGAGTATGCTAATAGTGCAGTCTGAAGACATGATCACCATAAATTATCATACAAAGGAATTTAAATGCATGGACTTTGAGCACATCAGTACTGTGCATTTTACTTTCGATTTTACAATATATGTCATTTTTGCTTAACCTTTTGCCTTTGAAAATATTACATGGAAAACTGCTCCTTAGTAACAGACAAAACCAACAGCTCCAACTTCAGGGTCCAAAACACCTTTAGTCCTAAGTGGTCACTAAGTGTTTAACCAACTTAATTCCCAACAGAAATTGTAAGCAGTTGAGCCACAAAGACCCGTGGACTACAGCGATAAAATTTGTTTGCGTGTATATGTGTTTTTCAAATACAAAGCTAGTAGAACCCCCAAGTATGTTTTCTCCTCCACTAATTTCTAAATTCTGCTTCCCCAAACAGGAAAATAGCATGCCTAATATGGCAGCATTTTCCAACTGTTAAGTGACAGGAATTTTTTTTAAAGTCTGAAAATGTCAACACACAGTCTTTCTGTGCAGAAATGACAGTTAAGTGGTTTCTAACTATGAACCAGGCTACAAATTCTACGACCCTATAAACTATATTTCTTATTTGAATTAAGTAAATGACGACAGCACCAGTATCTTTTAGCACATTATTCTTCAGTATGAGAAATGCAGCTCCTAGCATGCATGCTTTCTTTCTCTTTTTTTTCCTTTTTTTTTCTTTCTTTCTTTCTCTCTTTCTTTCTCTCTTTCTTCCTTTTCTCCTTCTCCTCCTCCTCCTCCTCCTCCTCCTCCTTCTTCTTCTTCTCTCTCTCTCT